TTTTTTGTCCTTAAAAATACATCTATTTTAAATATATAAGATATAATTTATTTAAAATAAATTAGAAACTATTTTAGTAGATTGAAGTATATATAAGGAGCAAATAGTAAGATGCCTAAGATAGTAATGGTATTGAAATGTTTAAATATTTAATTTTAAAGAGGTTGTGAATGGGTTGTAAGATCTAGTAAGTTTAATGTTAGTACTAAGATGTAAAAGGTTTTTATATTTTTGGATGTAAAGCCATTTTTTTAAATTTTAAAAATAATAATAAATAAAATAATAATCAGAATAATAAAATAAGTATCACATATTTTTATAATAAGCTAGATAATTAGGATTATAACTTTAGCAAAGCTAAAAAAAAATTCTTTTAACAAAGAGACTCTATGAAAAGGTTAGATAAAAAATTGACTTCGTGAGTGCAAAAAGGCTTAACAAGACTTGTTGATAAGAAGAATAAGAATAAGATGTGATATTTAGTGTAATTCTAGAGAAAAGAATGCAAGACAAGCATATTCTAGCTTTTACTTAAATCAATGTATTAGCTACATTAAACAAATGTATTAGATGCAATAGAAAAGAAGAAAAAAAAATTGAATGTTTTGATAAGATTGTAAATATAAATTTAAAAAATAATAATTTTAATTTTTTTCTTCTATCTATTATAATATACCTTAATATATCATAATAATATTATTAGACAAAATTTGAGTTTGTAGATATAAAAAATTATCAATAATATTTCTTTACTTAGTTAAAAATAGGTTGATGGATGTATTAGAAAATGTCTTTGATTGTTGAATTTCATATTTTTTTAAAAGATATTTACAATAGATTTTTTCAATTCAAAAAACAAAGAGTAATTTTCAATATAGTATAGAGTATTAAAAAATAGTTTGGTGAAAATAAGATTAATGATATAGTTTTGGATTTTAATATTGCATTCTATATATCAAGTAATGAAATAAAGAAAAAAATTATTTATCAAAGATTGTTGATGACGTAAGTTTAAAAAATTATTTTCAAAGAATTAATTATTAAATTTCTAAAAAATTAATTACATCTTAAATTTGTATCATGATTATTTTTATTTATTAAATATCACTTTATTAATTTTAATAGATTTCTTAAAAAAATATTTAATGTAATCATAGATATTCTTTAAAACTGGTCAAGAATAATATATATTTTAAATATGTATATATCTCAATTACAATAGATTTTAGTCCAAATTTTGAATCTTTGAATTACTAAATTAAAAGGCCAATAACATTTATAAAAGAAAAAATAATATTTGTGCTATTTTTAATATACATAAATTTAGATCATAAAAACATATGAATATTTTTGCTCTATATAATATAATTAATTATTATGTTGTGAAAAGGAGCATATAAGATATATATAAGACAGTATTGAATCCTAAAAAAGATATAGTTCAATTACACTATTATAAAACTAATAAGTACAAGAACACAATAGTCAAAAAAATCAAAGTATGAAGAACACCAACCATAATAATAAGAATTTCTATAGTGGAGCAAAAGAATATATATATATATATATATATATATAGCTTGATACCATATAAACTAAGCTAAGCTATATTATAAGAGAAATGAAGATGCTAATTTTTATTTATTAAGTTAATAAAAGGTTACAAGATAAGTCAACTTTATATTCTAAAAGAACATGTTTAATATGTTTATAGACAACAAATATGACTTTTATTAAAATATTGTAGTTATTCAATCTAAAAATGTAGTTGATCTAATATTATACTCATCTATTTCATAATATTATATCCATAACATATGATGCAATCTTAAAATTAATTTTAAAACCATCACAGATATATTACAAAACTCTATTAATTTGAATGATTTGTGTACAAATAATAAATGGTTTTAAACATGGAAAAATTACAAAATCAAATAACTAAATTTCACCATCTAACATTTCTAAGATCACTCAAAATATTATATTCAAAATATTACCATTCAAACCTTAGTACTCCTTGATATTTGCTTTGATAAATATGTGACATCCATGCACTACATATTGATTTTGCAAAGTATCAAGTAATTTTTTGATAAAGTATCAACTAATGTGAAGTTGACATAGCATATCAAATTAACTTCAACTACTATATTCTATATCTAATCTTTTTCACTTTTTTTTTCCATACATTTGTTCATCCATATACCTCCAAAGAAAATCCTTAGCATTGCAAATTATAGCAAAGGAGGTCATTTTGGGAGAATTAAGTATGCTACAATTTTTTTCTCAGCTAGAAGACTTAACAAACTTTCAAAAGTTGTATGATTCAAATAAGACAGGTATGCAAAAAGAAAACATTAAAATTTGGAGTTCTAGTATACTTGTCTATCTAGATCAATAAATTATTGAAGGATAAATTCAATCTTTATGCAACCAATGTGTTAGATTGATTGCACTCTTTTAAGACCAAGTACATGGCTACCTATGATTAGTCAAATAATACCAATACTAGAATCAATAAAAAAGATTTCAAGCAAGGTATATATACTTTAGATGTAAAATTAGAAGACACATGTCTATTAATTAAAAAAATACCTGCTTTATATAGTACAAGGCCAAACATAATCTTTCTTTGTAAGAAAGACTCCACAGCAAAAATAATCACCAATTCATTGTTGATATTCCTTAATTTAAATTTATTATATAAGAAAACACTATCTAAGGATATTTGTGAGGCTTTAATGCAAGACAAATCTAAAGAAGTTTGCAAGAAAGAGCATAATCTCTTGTTGTCTTTTATTTCTTTATAGTCTCTATCTTTATCACCATCAACACCTCTCTTAAGATATCTATCAACTAACAACACCACCACCTTCATCTGAAAAAAAAAAATTTAGCTACTTGTTTTAGTATCTAAAAGAAAATTTTTAAAGAGGCACTACACAATGGCCAATAAATTTATAAAGTCATCAAGATTGAAAATTGCCATAATGATAGAGTACATAACTCTACAAGAGTAAGATAGTAAGAAAACTAAGACTTAGTTACAAAAGAAATTAAAAATGAAGAAAAAGTTGGAGAGGAATAAGATGGCATTTGAAAAGAAAAATTAGTGATAAAGTACAAAAAAAGATAGATGATTTGGAAACATGAGCAAGATGATAAGTTTGTTGACTTGGTCTAATTATAATTAAATCAAGAAAAGAGTATGCAAGAAATAGAATATATTATAGTCTTTTTGAAGAAAGAATATAAATGATTTTTTTTTATAATTTGTATTTTGGTTAATATGTCATGTCTTACACTATAGTTTGTTTGGCATTGGTAAAATATCCAATGCATAATTCTATACTACAACTTTTTTTAAAATCTTTTTTTCAAAACAATCATGTCTTTCAATATGGCAACTCAATTTTTTGATGGCTCTCAATCAATCTGAGTGAATTTTATCATCCACACATTGCCAAAGTTAACAAGAAAATTATGTAAAATACAATAGGCAAAAATCCAATCCATAATGCATTTCACATTTTTTGTTTGATTAAATTGGATACAAATTTCTTTGAGCAAAGTCCACTTGCCTTTTAGGATCCTAATGTAGTGTTTATTTGTAGCATGTACTTTAGCCAAACAAAAAGTGAATTCTTTATTGATCAACTATTTTATGGCTCAAGGCTTGTAGCCAAAGATAACCATCTAATTTATACCATAGGCCGAGTTTGCCAACAAGTATTGTCTAATATCAAAGTATTTTTTGAGGTTTTTGTATATCTCTATCATCTTAAACACCATTGTTTGTATACATGATTTAAGCCAACCAATGATATAACAATCAAGATCACAAATGACCTATGCATTCATAGAGTACATCTTCTTTTTGTCAAAAAATGCATCTCCATTAGTCTTAGGGCACTGATTTATAGGAAATTGTATTCTATTGACAAATTCAATGCAATATTCAAAGCCAAGTACATTGAAAGATTAGCTAATTCAAAGCTTTTTGGCAACATCAAACCACTACAAATATTGTTGTTCAAGTGATAGGATTTCCTAAATTAGTTGGTTAGTAATGAAATATATGTTGCCATTGCCAACATTCTAGGTCCTTCTCAATCATTTGATATTGGTTCCATTTCCATTTGACCAAAGACACTCTAGTGTTAAAGCCAATTGCTAAGTGATATTGGTTTGTAGGCAATAGCTATTATTTTTAAAAACAAGATGGTCTTTGATAATTGAAAGCAATGTCTGAAAGCCCTCATTTTATAAATATCAAACATCTTACTGTTTATCTTTTTGGTCGTTCACTCCATACCACACCGCCTAACACTATGCTTCATCACTCAAAAAACAATAGACCCTCGAAGATCTTGAATTATTAATCACTTTTGTAATTGATTAAGAGTTTGATGAAATGTTCGAAGAACACTGCCAGTAGGTTGACAGCAATTTTCATGATTTCTTTGACATTGATGATGCAAAAGAACTTGCAGATGTCCATAATGCAATCAATAACTCTTACTTCATATTCACTCAAAACCAGATATCCAATTCACACAATTGGATTTTGATCTATTTTATAAATGAGCCTAATTCTGAACACAACGTGAGTTTTGGTGGTGGTTATTTATCTGTCCTTGAGGTATGATTGAAAGAACATCAGCCTCCAATGCACAGCCACGCTAACAACTTGGGGAGAGCTAGATGACAAGAGAATATTAAATAAAGATTACTGTTGGCAATAAATCATGCATCCAAAACTAAAAGAAAACAAAAACAGAAAGAACTGACATTCTGTAATAAGGTTACAACAACGTCATGGGGTAAAATGTCATCACAGTTATCACAGTGAACTCAGCATATACTTAACAAGAGCAGCGTTGATGTCCTAACTTTAGACTCAACCTTGCTTCCCCTATACCCAGCTGCTTCGAACTCAGCATGGAGTGCCGCTCAATTGAAATTTTCTTTACTTTCCTACGACAAAGTACCTGTCCAACAAATTTCGAGTCCTACATTAGTTCCTTTCTTCAGATGTCATCTCATATCCTCGAAAAAAGTGCCCTCTATCGGCATGCCCCGTATGTTCAAACAAAATTAGATTACAAGTGCTAGAAAAGCTTTTTGTGACAACTTGATCCATTGACCAAATGACCCACAAATATGAGCAAGGAATCCACTATTCACATCTCTAGTTGTCATGCTCAGACACAAACGATCACACATTACATTTTTTCATGTGAGTGATCACGACTGTTAATTAAAAAAACGTTGTTTGAACCAGTCATTATCCAATGCTTGGTTCATTTCAGCAAAAGATATCAGTGACAAAAGAAAAGCCTACCACTGATGATTGAGAAGAAATCGAGCAAACCTATTGTTGAGGTTTTTGCCCTAAAGTCTGTATCCTCTCTCTCCAGAAGATTGGACACAGTGCGAGGAGAATCGGCGTTTCTTATGCCATATTTTCTGTACCTTGTGTTGAAGATAGGAATATGCCCAACATTCCCCATTTGAGATATGACCTGCAGCGACATTAAATTTCGACACAGTAGTTGGAAAACTTGGCTGAAGATCTTCTGAAGATCACTTTGAGAAGCTGGTATTTTTGAGCCAGTGCTTGAGACAGCCCGGTTGAGTCTTCAGCCAATCTCCGCGCCGCGAAATTTTGAGGCATCAGTTCCTTTGCTTCATAATTTTGTCATCAAGAATATCTTTTGTTGGTAGCCACAGCATTCACACCTAGATCCTCACGCATCTGCAAAGTTTGCACGAATTCAAATCAGCGTCCGATGTAGGCTCCAGCCTAAACGGAACTTCACAACGCTTTTGTACAGCCTGCTTCGCAACCAGGGCCATGATCGATTGTGCATATTCAATCTCCTTCATGAGGTTTCTCGCGCTTAACTCCAAGCTTGGCCATCCAAGATTTTCTGCATGCTTATCAGAAAAAGTGGTCTCCTCAACTTCGGGATCGTCTTCGATATTATTCCAGGGGTTGCACACTGGCAAATTCGTCTCGACAGGGTTCTCTATTATCCTCTGGAAAAGGCAAATCACCCGTTGTCCACATGTTACAACCCAAGGACCATCAAGCTCTTTTAATGAATATGACATTGAAAGCATCGCGACAAACATGGCTGACACGACCTGTAAAAACGAAATGTACGATTAAGGAATAGGATTTGCATTTTAATGTACGAGATTAAACATATAAACTTGAAATTATTCTGCATGAAATCTGAAACTAATTTAATCATCATGAACCTAATTTGACAGGGCAGTTTACTTGACAATCAAATGACCTATGGATTTCACCTTAAACTCCTGCACATTTGTTGTTAGGGTAGCAACATGTTTGTATAGCTTCACTTGCATTGAGTTGACTGTACATATCACATCCCTCAACACCTCGTCCTTCTCCGCCATGTTATCGGAATGTAGTTGCTAGACAGCCAGGTCAACAATCGCCTCAATTGACATAAGATTCTAATTTGAACCACAATGGACAGCAGAACCCTCAATCCAATGTTGAAGGAACATACTTGAACATATCGATTGAATGCTTAATGTTTAAACAGTTTAAAGTAGCTTGCAGATTATGTAGGACTGCTCACAAACCAGCAATTATCTTGCATGCAAGAAAACTTCGAAAGCGGATGGCTTACAGGTTAATTTTCTTCATTTAACAAGGTTACGCCAATACCTTCTGTTTCTCTAGTTCGGCAATATGGAACTGTAGCGCAACTATTAAATCATTCTTTTGCGAAAAAAGCACTTCATCTTGGGCCTTTTTCCCCGCTCTAGACTCCTCAGGTGCATGACAGAGGTTTAATTTTCTCTCCATTTCTGCGAACTTTTTGTTCCTGCTTTCTATTTCTGCTTCAAGCCCTTTCATGCTCGCGAGGGCACTGGTGCACAAATTCGACCATTCATCTCGTTCTTTTTGAAGCTTGCAGCACTCTTGCAGTAATTCTTTCTCTATCTTCTTTCTGAAATCTTGGTCTCTGAGAAAATCGACTTCCCTCTGTCTTAATGCCTCCAGTCTTCTCCATAACATCCCCTCCCTATTCTTCCTTGAGCTCAGCTCTTGCACTAATGTCTCTTCCTTCATCATCCTTGTTTTTAGTTCCTGGACCAGAACGTCTTCTCTTTTCGTCCGTAACTCCAACTCCTGCAACAGTTGGCGCCTCGTGCATGGAAGGGGTTGGTCTTCCTGGCTGGTAACGATTCTTCGTCGTCGCTGCACCTTGGCAAATTAGAAAATAGAGTGGGATCTCCCAGAGCAAAATGAAGCAAGAAACCTTGTGCAAAGAAGCACGTATGCATGCATACTTAGTTCTGACTTTGAACCACTATTCTAGTATAATTCTCAACCGGGGCAATACTAATCCCACACAGTACAGCAAATAAGTGGAGCATCCTACCACGTCCGTAACAAACGTTGCCAAGGGTGATCGCATCTGAACATAATGCTGGCCTGCCTGCATCCGAAAGGTGTCCTCTCCACAGCGTTGTGCTTGTTCTGGTCCAGGGTACGTATCCATACTGACGATTGGGTCAGCGCTTCAAGTGTGAATCACGGAGAATCTTCAAGATTCCTGTAAACCACCTAAATTTCACGGCAAGGGCGTCAAGTAGACGTGAGGAGAAAATTGCATCACACCATCACGTCAACCCTTCAAAATTTGCAACTTCCTCCAGAGCTCGGCACACTTGCAGGGCAATGAACGAAGTGGCGGAAGCAAGTAAGAAACCAATGTACAACTTGTGAAGACCATTCAATTGAGAACCTAATCGGATTGAACAATCAAATCGGATGGCTTGAATTGTCTCCTACCACATATCGTTCCTACAACAGCTAAAATTCCAAATGAATATTATCGGTGCCATTCTTGGCCAAATTTGGTAATGGAGAGAACGCCAAAAGAAAAGCACAACTAACAATGAGACATAAGATGAGGTGCAAAACATAATATAGCAGCATATAATCACACTCCATCTTCCCTTGTCTCATAATCCGCAAAGCATTTAACTAGACCAACTCATGATATCTAATTGTAGCTCAATGTCAGCAAGTCGCGATCAATCAACTCTGATGCGCTCCCTCCCTCCCTCTGTCAACACAAGTGAAATCATCCTGCAGGGCCCTAATCAAATAATTTACTCCCTTAAATTCTCCTCCCTGGCACCACCTATCACTACCTCTTGGGGGCTTGATTCTACAACGTCACGACCACTCTGCAATTCACCATGGTGTCTCCATCAAGACTCCCTGCTATCCTCCTCATTCACCATGAGCTGTACCGACTTCTAAAGGTCATGAATTAGAGCGGAACGATTTCGGAAGCTACGAAGTGTGTGTCAGATTTCTCCTTCTGAAATGCTTCCGGAGTTATGGCCATCATGAACACAACAGAAATGAACCTCACGACACTGGCCATTCGCTCATTGCTCGTGACCTAGTGAAAGTCTATTCTACAACTGTCCCCTATCACCGTTGCCAAGTTTGGTGATGAGAAATGACACATTAGGAAAGGGGGAATAAGTTTGGGCATTAAAGGCTTCTTTATACCTTTTACGCTTCCTTGATATTAAAGAAAACTAGAGTTATTCGTTATTATGACATGTAATAATATCAATAATAGTAGGTCTTCTGTAAGTAGTCTTCTGTCGCATTTGTGTTGATTGACATGGTTCTCAAATCACAATTTTTGGCACTTGTTCACACTGAGAAAAACTATTCATTTTAAAGATTTTGTATATATATATATATATATATATGTATTTTAAGTTTTTTGACCCTTTTGAATATTTAAACTATACAATTACAGTACTTGAATATTTCACTTTTCTCTTGTTGGTTATTATGTTTATTAGGTTTAAAAAATAACTTCTTGTTATTATGTTACATTTTAAATACTGATTTTTATTTACTTATTTATTTATTATAATTTGAATGGGTAACATAAAAAAAATTAAACATAGAATTTAGGTTTCAGTATTTGATAACTAGATTTTAACTAACCAAAAATGAATACTTTATACATTGATATTTATTGTTGAAAAGTAATAATTTATCTTCTATAATGTACATAAAAGATGATGCATTATATCTAAATGGCTTTCATGGTTTAAAACAATTGATAGCTGGTGGCTTAAACTACTTTGATAGATTGTAACAAAACAGTCATACTTTTGGATTTACATTTTACAGCTTGTATATGCTTGTGAATTTGTCTACATATATACCTGTGAACACTGGCACATACTTGCCACAAATAAAATTTATATTTAATGATAATATTAATATGATTCTTCTATTAAGAACAGACTGTTATAATTCATTCTCATAAAAAACTAGAAATTACATTCATTACATTTTAAAAATTCATTATTCAATAGTCAAATATACTACAAATAGCTAAGCTTTTAAAAAATTTGTTCCATATATTTGATATTGTACGAACCAAAATATTGATAATATGAAATGAAAAACATTAAAATGACCCAAGATTTTACTAAATCAATATACCCATCCTAACCATTATGGAAAGAAAAAAAATGACTTCTAAATTCATTTATCCGCTATTGGATTTGCAACCAATGAAAAGCAACTACATTCATCATTATCTTAATCTTAATCATTGTTATAATCATGGTGGCCATACAATCAATTACTTCTTGTAAAAAAAACTTAATTTTTTTGTTTAAAAAAAGAGCTAGAGACAAATTTGCATTCAGTCTTCTTACCATGCCTCCCATCTGCTTCTCAAATTGCATTGTGTCTTTCATATCGCAATCCTACCTTATTAAGCTTTATCTCTTATGTTGTGCTCCTATCTTATTGCTAGGATAATTTAATGCTATTGAGACCCATTTCCATAGCACATAGGTTATTTGTGAAGTTTGTGTTGGTTGGAGATGTGATTTAGTATAAATGATTTTATTCATGTTGAATACTACATAAATTTATCATAAAGTGTGACTGGTTGCAATTGAGTTGTATCTTCATGAATATAGAGCCCAAGCTCTAAAGTCTTTTAGAACATCTATTTTGACCAAATGTATAAAGACAATGATCAACTACTTCATCAAGATACACATTCTTTATGTTTTTAGAGGTTGCGGATTACCCTCCTCTTATTTAACTTTTGAATTCGTTTGAATTGTCTATAGAAGGAAAAATCATGGGTGCTACACTTGGTGGAAGTGAAAATAGATTTACAACTATTGCAGATCTTCATGAGCTTGTCAACACTCTTAGGACCAAAATTTCACGCATCACCAACACCAACCATGGAAGCACTATTCCTACTACTATGGAAGAAGTTCAAAGTCTATGCCAAGAAGTTGTGCAATTGAAGGAAACAAGTCGATTAGCCTTGCAACCAAATTCCAGGAGTTTTGCTTCTATAAGCTCGAGGGAGGCAAGGATTAGTATGCCTAAAAAGTTCAATGGAACAAGATCAAGATTTTGAGGGTTTTTGCAACAAGTTAAATTCTACTAAAGGTTGCATCCTTTTCAATACCTTGATGGATTTACTCAAGTTGGATTCATAGGAGCACTTCTATCTGGAAGTGCTCTCTTTTGGTTTGCACCTTTGATGGAAAAAGATTCACAACTACTCTATGATTTGAATTCATTCTTGGAAGTATTTATGGCTACATTTGGAGAAAGTGATCGAGAAAGGGTAGCAGAGACCAAGCTTGTATCACTACAACAAGGATCACATTCAGCCACCACATATGTTGGTGAATTCCAAAGTCTTGCTTGTAATGTGGACTGGAATGATAAAGCTTTTATCAATCAATTTTGCTATGGATTAAAAGATAATGTCAAAGATTTGTTATTGATAATGCCAAAAATAGATTCTTTAGAATAATTCATTACTCAAGCTATTGCATGTGATAATCGTTTATTTGAAAGATGTCAAGAACAAAGATATGGCTGGAGATGAATAAGTCAAGTCATGGCAACACCTTTTAAGTTTTTGGAAACCTTTCCATCAAGGCCAAAGCGAATGCAAATTGATACGATACGTTTTAAATCCCTCACAAAGTAGGAAAAGACTCGACGACGTGAAGAGGGCTTATGTCTATATTACAGAGAAGCTAATTACACTGCTCAACATTGTCCAAGGAAGCAATGCAATCACAAAATGAGGAGTACGATTGCAAAAGAAGACAATGTATCAGAAAACGAGTTCCTCCAGCTACAATAGGGACTGTGCGGTTGGAACCATGTGCAACATCTAGTTAAGGTCCTATTCCCTCCTCAGATCCCTCACCTTGTTTTATAATAGATGTGTGTTTAGGATTCAAAAATCATAAAGTCTTTGCATTATTAGATTCATGAGCCTTAGCTTGTTTCATAGACGAAGACTTTATCAAAAAACAAGAAATATTGTTAGTCAAGAAAACCAAACCCGTACATGTGGAAGTCATAGATGGTTGTTCGTTGTCTTTTGGTGATGTTACCCATGAAACTATTCTTTTAGATGTAGTAATTAAAGATCATAATAGTATAGTAATATTTAATAAAATACGATCTCTTTTGAATCTAGTCATTTTAGGACTATCTTGGTTAAAAAAGTACAATCCTCAGATAGATTGGATTTCCCGTAACCTTAATTTTCTTAATAGTTTATTTCGAAATTCTATTAATCAAGAAAAAATACATAAGTCTAGTGCATCTAAGCCCTTACTAATAGAGGCAAGTGCTTTCATGCATGCAGCCAAAGAGGGATCATCTTTTGCTATATATGCCACGTCTATTTCAGATAGTGAAAAGACAACAAGTGGTATTCTTAATCAATATCAAGAATTTCAAGATATTTTTGCGAAGAAGAATGCAGATATTCTTCCAAAATATTGACCTTATGATTGTTCAATTGATCTTCAAGAAGGAGCTCAACCGCCATTTGGACCAATCTATAGCTTATCACAAAACGAATTGGCTGCACTAAAGGAGTATATTGACAAGAACTTAACTAAAAACTTCATACGCCATTCAAAATCTCTAATAGGAGCACCGATCTTATTTGTGAAGAAAAAAGATGGATCTCTACGGATAAGCGTAGACTATCGAAGCCTTAACAAGATCACCATAAAAAATAGGTATCCTTTACCTTTGATTTTAGGACTTCTTAATCAACTCAATCAAGCAAAGATCTATAAAAAAATAGATCTACAAGGATCATACTACTTGGTCCGCATCAAAGAAGGAGATGAATGGAAGACTACTTTTTGAACTAGGTATGGACATTTTGAATATAATGTCATGCCTTTTGGACTCACAAATGCACCAGTTGCTTTTCAACATCTTATGAATGATATTTTTTGTGAATTTTTAGATGATTTTATTGTTTTTTATTTAGACGATATTCTAATCTATTCTAAAAACACAAAAGAATATAAACTCCATGTTCGTCGTGTGTTACAAAAACTAAGAGATGTAGGCTTATATACCAACTTGAAAAAGTATGTATTCTATACTACTCAAGTTGACTTTTTAGGATACATCTTTTCCAATGAAGGCTTGATGATGGATCCCAAGAAGGTCCAGACTATCATAGATTGGAAGATTCTAAGAACAGTACAAGATGTGCAATGCTTTTTGGGCTTTCCAAACTACTATCGAATCTTCATCAAGAACTTTTCTCAAGTTACAGCTCCACTTACGTGTTTGACTTGTAAAGATAAATTTGAGTAGAGTAAAGAAGCTAAAATAGTGTTTGATGCTTTAAAGAAGGAATTTACTTCTGCAACAATCTTGTATTGCGTCGACTTCTTTAAGGTATATTTTATGAAAATAGATGCATCAAACTTTGCCTTCAGTGCCATTTTGTCATAAATGGGAGTAGATGACAAGCTCCATCTAGTAGCTTTTTATTCCCGGAAATTTTCAGCAGCCGAGATTAATTATAAAATCTACGATAAAGAGCTTCTTGCAATTATGGATTCATTTCAAGAATGGCGTCATTATCTAGAAGGCACCTCAAGTCCAATTACCATGTACACAGATCATAAGAACCTCAAGTATTTCATATCAGCACACATATTAAATCATCGTCAAGCTCGTTGGAGCATGTTTTTATCAAGATTTGAGTTCATCATCACTTATCGACTAGGAAAACAACAAGGTTTGTCTGATGCCTTGTCTAGACGTTCTTATCTTACACCAAAAGAAAGAGATGCAGCTTTTGAGGAATAAAGAACGGTTCTCTTGAAGCCAAAGTAATTTCATCTTCGAGTAATAAAATCAACATTGACTGTTGATTAAACTTTTCTCAAGCAAGTCCAGTTAAATATGTCTTCATACCCTCTTGTTTACAATATCAAGAATAATTCTTCTAAATCTCATGATCTCTCTAAATTCGAGTTCAAAAACAATCTACTCTATTTCGAAGGACACCTATATATACT